AACGAAAATGAAAATTTGCTTGATAATTCAACTACGCTTGTTGGAGAACAATAAAAACACTACACTCAACAAGCCACCAATAAAACTCAACTGCCTAACCTATAACCAAAGTCTCCTTTTAATTTGTTTTTTAAAAAAAGCGCTTGACAAACTTGCCCCGCATGCCGAAGTTGCCCCGATCTCCCCTATTGATATAACAGTGCATTTCAAATTCTTTGAACTGTTTAAAATGGCAGACCAGCAAGACTTTTTACGATGATCAAAGTACCGATATTATAATTTAAGTGTGTAGTTATCTTACTTTTTTAGGTATGTAGGTACAGCACACAAAAGAAAGAATTTATGGATGGGCAAAAAAAAAATAACAGAGAAGGAGAATTCATAATTATTCCACTTCCGGACTTGACGGTGAACTTGACTTTACATCAATTTTATCCCTTCGTAACAAAACTCATTACATCGGTCAAGATGTGTTTGAAACATAGTTTCTCTACAATTGGCACTGAAATTAAATTACAGGATGATACCAAATACAATTATGAATATAATTCATATTTTTTCTGGGCTTGCTTGTTATCTGGGGGCGGAGATCTGTAGTCCTTACGTGACTTTTCCTTTGTATTAATGATAAATAAATAAATAATTCCTTTATAAAAATAAATATTTGAAACGGTAGAAGTAAGAAATATGGTAGCCAAATTTTGTCATTTGTATGACAGATAAAAGAAGTATATAACGAATGATAGCGTTTATCATAAATTCCAATAAAATTATGCATTTAATACGAAGTTTGCTCATAATTGTTTGCATTATTTCAGTTATAAAAAATTGAATTATCCATTATTTCGTTAAAGTTATGGTAAAATATTTCATAACAAAATATAATGTGATAAGCTTCATTTTTAACGAAATTTTCAGTTTTTATAAGAACTGTCACACTAGCGTAAAAATAGGAAAAAAAAATCTAAAATTAAATGGAGTGTTGAAACAAAGTGGTGTAAAGTACAGTACATATTATTGGCTATTATAAGAAAAAAAATTTAAGATCTTATCAACTGGAAGATAAAATGTGTATAATTACAGGGACGTCATAGAAGATTAATTGTAAACAGTAAGCGATTAAAATATTATACATTATTTAACAATTAACTTATTACTTTTTACATATAGGGGAGATCGGGGCAAGATCGGCATGTTAAGCTTTACTTAAATTTTGTGTAATAAATACTGCTGTAAACTGATAAAAAAGCTTTGCATANGCTTATCATCTTCTCCTATTAAGATTTTATTGATTAAATTTAATGAAATTTTAATTAATGTTTTTATGAAATATGTTTACTCTTGAAGTAAATGAAATACATTCATAATTGTATTGATTTTCGTGATTCAATTTTAGTGCCAATTAAAGAGGAACAATGCTCGAAACGCGTCTTGGCCTATATAATGAGTTTTGTTATCAAGAAACGAAAATGTAAAAAGAAGTCTTTTTTTTTAATGTACTTCATTGTATTTACGTAAGAAGAATATTAATATTATAAAAATATAAAAAAATCCGGAGTGGGATAGCACCTAGTTTGATAACTGAAAGAAATATCTTTCTGGGACCTATCGTGAACCATTGTTGACAATGAAGTTGCTTTATACAGTATGCGTGAAGAATTAGGTATATATAAATAATCTGTTTGTCTTGAACATATACAAAAACAATGATATAGGATCTGCTTTCGATAGCGATAGTAAAACCAGTATTTAACATTTTCGATACGGAAAATGTTAAATACTGGTTTTACAAACTACACTATAAATAAGCAAAACTACACAATGAAATGAGTTCAAGGATATCTAAGATACGTAAAGATACGTAATAAACTTTATCTGAAAAAATTTAATCAAAGTCTTAATATTTAATTATTGATAGATTACAATATATTTCGACATATTAAGAATCTAATAAAAATAATTTTGTGTCATTTGATTCAGAAATTTAAGCATCTTAAAAAGGTTTTGATTTGTAAATTATTTACAACTGAATAATTAAATTCATTTTTATTCGTTAATTACTTTTTTATTGTACATTGTAATAAAATATATAATATTATTATAATCATTAGACCTACATACAATAAAAATTCATAAGCCTATATCTACTCACGTGCTTTCTTCAGTAATAGATTCATTGATGAGATTAGATCTGATAAATATTGTTTTTCTCTATTTTTTGAATTTTCATTTTGAACTTATTATTGAAAAAAGATAACAAATTCTACTAAAAAAATTTAAAATAAATGTAAGAAATTATTATAAATAAATAAATATATCTTACGATATTATAAAATTAATAATTCATAATCCTTGAAATGTTTACGGATGTTTACAACTTTATTGATAAAATGATAGAGAAGGATTCACCTTTCCTAGAATTGCAAGCATTTAAAAAATTTCAAATACAATAAACTAGAATTTATTAAGAAATAAAATTTTCACTCATTGGATCGATAAGAAAACATTAGTCAATAAAATAAAAATATATTTGTATCATTCATTGTATTTATTAGTTAACGAGAATAAATTGAATAATAAAAAGTAAATAATAATTGTATAATTGTAAAGTATGAATTTATAAATATAATGATTTAAAATTTTCTAAATTAATTAAAAAATACGATACTCCACAAATAGACTTTAAGATAAAAATTATTATTACACGTAAATAAATATTTTATAATTAATTTTAATCTTGAATGCAACGACGGCGTATTCATATAGTTTCATAACAGGAGTTCGTAATACAACCTTAGTCTATAAAACCTAAGACGTAACTGTAGCTTCACTTTTTAACATCGATTTCTTTGTCTCTGCATCTGATTCTCACCTTACTTATATATGTTACCTAAACCTACGTAACTTATAACTTGCTTTCATACACTTCTAAATATTTTATAACACATTTTTATATATCTTTATGATTTAAAATGCAAAAGAATAAAAAAATAAACTAAAGCAATTTCTAGGAGTAAATAGTTAAGTTTAAAAACCGACCCACGCTCAGCTGAAAGAATAATTACTAAAATCATCGCTAAACACTTTTGGCTGCTGAGACACGTTTATTTGTTATACACTAACGTTTTCAGCCATCCTCAAGTGCCATACTTTTGGAACGTCAGTTACAAACTGTTCCAAAATAGAATACAATAAATATAGAATATTAGAACATTAAATTTAGTGTATAACAAATAAATGTGTCTCAGCAGTCAAAGGTGTTTAGTGATGATTTTAGTAGTCGAGTTTAAATTAATAAATCGATTTAATTATTATAAAATCAAATTAAATAACTGATGTATTAAATTTAGTTCACAATATAAACAATATACAACTCATTAAAGCTAGATAAATTATTTGTCATTTTCCTTTCGAGTAAAAATAAATACGGTATAGAGAAAGAAAGATTTTCGAAAGTGTTGGAAGTTTATTAAGTAAGAACATCATGTCAAGCAGAAACGAATGATTACGGATGAAAGATAAAAGCATGGTTTATTGATTTAACTAGCATTCTGTTGAAATCAGAACGCGCCATCTATCCCGGCAACCTTATCCCAGTTAGGAATGCAGGAAAAGGCGACCGGTATCTACCAACATCTGTTCTAACAGGTTCCCTAACCGAACTTAGCCTTGATAACGAGCAGTCTGTCTCCGCCCGAACGCGATTGGACTTAAGTCAATCCACGTGTCTACCATTGTAAAAAAGGTGTAAGTGTCCCTCGCGATGATGTACGTCAGCGTGCGCCATTCTCGACTCAGTCGGCGTTTAACGCGGCCGTATCCTTCAACATCTTGGAAGTCATTCTGATCTTGTCTCTCCTTTCGAAACGTTACAGAAATGAAGTGCTTTCCGTTTTGTGAAAAACAGGAAGAAAATGAAGAGGATTCCAAAGAAAAGATACCGTCTTTGTCTTTAGTAATAAACAACGAAGCAAACTCGGAAAGTGGAAGTGAAGTCATATCCACCGGTGATGGAAGTACTTCTAAAGAAATGCCCGAACGTGGAAAATGGTCCGGAAACTTTGATTTTATATTTGGATGCATCAGTTATGCCGTCGGTTTAGGAAACGTGTGGAGATTTCCATATCTGTGTTACGAAAATGGTGGAGGTAAGTTTCATTTATAGACAATGAAATCGATTATTTAATATAATATTATATAAAGGCCAATAAATAAACAATTTATTCAACGTGTAAACACGCACGCAATTAGTGGAGTGTAACTCTATTAACAACGCTATATGTCTTTTAATATGACACGATAGTAGAGATTTTTACACTTTTATCTGTAATTAGATAATATAATATAGGTTAACTATTAGATATATTTTTATTTCAATCAGATTGGTTACTATGATAATTTATCGCTAAGAATATCGAAACACATGCTTACTCTGTATGGAAGCTTTCCTACCAAGCATCGGTGCTTAACGTTTTCCTTCCAAAAATATAATGTAACTTGAACTCTCTCTAAGAATTTTAATATATTTATATACATATTTCCTTTTTATGTTTGCATCGAAAAGCACGACTATTTTGTAATATATAACGGAAATAGCATTAATAATCTATTTTTATCTTACATGTATGTTTTATTACCAATATGATTTTTATTATTATTTTTTTAATATTCGGTAATCTTTTCATTTTTTCAATTTAATAATATTATTATAATCTTTTACTTTAAAAATTTAACCGATATGTATGTATTTAATTAAACTGTTAATACATTTATTAAATTTTTTTAGACTTACATTTAATAAAAACTGTATTAATTTAAATTCTGGATTATTTAAATTAGTGATAATATTTTAAATAATGATAATTTAATTATATTTCCATTATTTTATAATTTGAATGAATGAAAACGTTTCAATTATTTTATGTTTTACTAGAAAACAATAGTTGATTTAAAAAATTATTTTTTAAATAAAAAGATCTATTGAAATAATACTTATTTTCAGTAAGATTTCTTTTGTTTTAACTGTTATACATATATAATGTAAAATTTAATTTAATATAAATTTATTAATTTCATAACAAAAATTAAAAATAATTGAATTATCATTTAAGATCAATCACTCAATGATCAAATATATTAATTTCTTTTATAAATGTTATCGTGATAACATTTAAATGATAAGTAATGATTACAGACAACACAATAAAAGTTTAATGGTGTTGAAAATGTAATAAATAATTTTTTCTTTCATTAATAATATGATTGTTATATATTGTATATGTCATAAAACAATCACAGAAAAAAACACTTTGAATGGTAAATAATTTTAATTATTTTAACAACTTGTTTTTTGATTGGTATGAATGTTTTTAGAAAATTACTTTTTATTGTTGTTTATGAAAATAAAAAATAATTGTATTTTTATGGTTTTTAAATATAAACATAACATTTAATTTTAGTTAGTCAAATGTCAGGCTTTTTTAAATTGTATATAAACAGAGTAGATCTCAATTCTAAGTTAAGATAATTGAAATTATGTTAACTTAATCTTAGGATATTTTAAAATATCAGTTAAATATTATATTGTATTTTAAAGTTTTTAGTTTTATCTTTTTAATATTTAGATTTATTTACTATTTTTTCATATTGGTAATCTTTATAAAGTTTCTATTCTCTTTACATATTTGTTGTATTTTATCATGAAACATTTATATATATAAGATAAATACTGTGATAAACTTTGTAAATAATATGATTTACAATTTCTAATATAAGTTATATATGATAAATACCCTTTCACTTATTTTTATTATGAATTTTTTAACCAGATGGCAGTACAGTAAGTTGTCAATTTATCACATTGATCCAGATTAAATTCCAATCCAGATTTCTGAAGTTTATTATTGTTAATATGAGTTAGGACAATATTTATATTCCTTATCTAGGCTGGTTGATCCTGTTATGGATCAGGACTATTATGGATCTTAATGTATATAATTGTGGCTGACTATAGCCTTAATGCATGGTGCATTACATTCACAAATCAATCAATGTTACTTTAAATTAAATGAGTGGTTGATTTTTATATTAATAAGTATTATTACATCCAACATGAAAAGTATTAATTCTGTAACTTAATAATAGCAAATAACCTAAATATTCACTAAACAATATAAATAAAGATTCAAAAATGAAAAAGTGATTTAAATTTAATAGAAACAAAGCCTGTACAGTATTTCTCAATTTACAATTTAAATACTGTATAAGATTTTGTTTATATTAAGGTAAAAAATGTTTTTATTCATAAATTAAATTTTTCTCATTTTCAAATAAGTTTAATAAAGTGAAAGATAAATAAGAATCTGTTTTTGACATAAATCACCTAAAGAATTAATTATTAATTAATAAATCATTAAAATAAAGTATTACATTTATGAATTTCAACAGTAACTGTTATCATCTTGCTTATATGGGTACTGACAAGTTTTACATTTGGTAAAACAAATGTAAACTTGTCAGTACCCTCTGAAAAATTGTAATGAGTGGAAAAAATTAAACTCAATGTTGGAAATTGAAAATTATAGACATGTCTACAAGCATATGAAAATGAAGAACATACCATATAATGAAAGAATATATCTTTCAAAATTATATATCAATATACAATTGTAAAACTCCAACTGAAGAAGGGTAGAAAAACCTGAAATGTACATCTTGGAGATCGAAAGTCTAATAAAAAATAGAAAAGAAAAAACAAAGTAAAAAGTTGTCAAAAAATCGTAGCGCAATAAGTTTGCCCAAATAGCCAAAAAGTAGCTATAAAAGAATTGTTTTATTCTTTTATTATTTTTATTTAATTTATTATTCTTATATCTTCTCAATTTTATTGATATAATATTGTAACTGAATAGAAAACATTCATCATATTTGTATTGAAATATATGATAAATGTAAAATTATAGCACAAATAAATTATTTACTGTAATAAAAATGATTTTGTTACTATATTTTGAGTACTTGAGGTAGTTAAAATAACTAATGCCATCGACAAAATATAAGAAGGAAAGCTATGATGCTTTCATAGTATCATAGGATATGGAATTATGGAGAAAGAACATGTCATAAAAAAAGGATAAAAAAAGAAGAAAATTATCTCAAAATGCAAATTATGAACATCATAGTCAGAGGAAGATGAAGCAGAAGAAGACCAGAATGAGGTGAAGTAGACATGAAGGTTGAGAAAAATGGTTGAGAAAAGATGACTGCAAATTGGATGCAGTGAAGTAAACTCATCAAATACAACTATACCACATAAAGTGAAACAAGCTACAGAAAAGGTTATATATTAGAATATTTAATTATCAATTATTTATCATACAGGAACAATTTGAGAGATATTTCTGAACTGCTTGAAAATTAGTTATTTATCATAACATGTAAATGCTTACTGTTTTGATTTTTCTAGTTGTTTGGAATTTAAAATTATTTTTGATATTTATATCGTTAAATCTAAATTATCAGACATCACTAATAGTCTACTGTTTTCATACTTTTAATAACAAAAAATAGTACTTGTAAAATATATAACAATCTTATCATGTTTAAAAAAATTGAATTGGCAATATTTAAGGTAGAAAATTATAGCATTAAATTATATTACAGTATATGAGGTTCATTAACCTAACTCTAATTTTTATATAACTTCCTCTCTTTTTTTACAAGTAGTCTACAAGGTCTGTTCAAAAAGTATCGGACCTTATTTTTTTCCGCGTAAACCAATGATGCGAGAGAGGTCTCCTTCGGTGGAGTTGTGGAGGGGACAGTCATGCACAGCCCTGAATTTTTTCCCGCCTGCAGGAAGCGTCAGTCGTTGGCAATCGGCGTATGAGTGAGGTCATGTAGTGCGCTCTC